CGATTTATTTAGTTTACACACTAGTCTTTCCTTCCCATTCATGCCTTCCTCGTAGCCTTCTGGTTGTTCCAAATAGATCTCATAATCTATGGGAGAGTGTAAATAGGCAGTCTTTACATCCATCTGGTGTAGGATAAGGTTTTCTTGTGCTGCTTTTTACATTAAGACTCTGATGCTAGTTAGATGAGCTGTAGGTGAGAAGGTCTCATCATAATCCACGCCTTTCTTTTGACTGTAACCTTTTGCTACGTATCTAGCTTTATATTGATCAGTCCCATCCATGTTCTTTTTCACTGTGTACACCCATTTTCCCCCCACTGCCTTTTTGCCCTCAGGAAGAGTAGATAAAGTATAAGTATTGTTTTCTTTTAGTGAGGTCATCTCTTCATCCATCGCCTTTTTCCATTCTTTAACCTGTGGGGATGTCACAGCTTCTTCAAAACTTAAAGGTATCCCACTGAGGAGCCTGTAACAGTAGTCCAGGTTTACAGAAGAATGATCATCAACCACTTCTGTCATGTAGTCGTTCAGGTGACTGGGTTTCTTCCTAATTCTAGTAGGGTATCGTGGTTGGCTATGTTCTGAGCTACTTCCTTGGCCATCTGTCTCACTTTCACTTCCTTCCTTTATGTCTATGGCATCTGGGCTTTCCTCCTGCTCTGTGGTTTGGTTCGTTAGTTGTTCTGTTCTGACTCGGTTTGGTATAACAAACTCGTCCTCAGATGGTCTTACATCTTGTTGTTCAGTTTTATTCATAACGAATTTCACTAGTCTATGTTTCTGTATCTTTCTTTTATTTGGGAAATATATGTAGTAAGCGGGACTGTTTTTGTCGTATCCTACGAAAACACCTTCTTCACACCTTGAGTCTAGCTTCCCTTTGTCATGCTTATAAGCATAGCAAGTAGTACCAAATTTATGCATTCGTGAGAGGTTTGGTCTTTTCCCACACATCATTTGGACTGGTGTCTGTCCTGTGCATCTATTAAAACACCTGTTTCGCGTTATGGCTGTGGTTTGTACTGCGTAGATCCACAATGACTTCGGCAAATCACTCTCAATAAGCATGCACCTGGCCATATCAAACAATGTACGCCAGTTTCGTTCTGCGGTGCCGTTTTGGTGTGGTGAGTATGTTGCAGACGTTTCATGTCTTATGCCATTTTTTCGTAAAAGTGACTGGTATTCTTTTCCAGTATACTCAGATCCGTTGTCAGAACGCAAGCATTTCACTTGTCCATATGGTGCTGTATCAGCAAGGAATTTTTCAGTTGCTATTATAGCATTGCTTTTCCGTTTTAAAAAATACACAAATACTGCGCTGGAATAATCATCAGTGAACGATATTGCATACTTATGTCCGTCTATAGATTCTGGGCTAATTGGTCCGGCTATATCAGTGTGAACAAGTTCTAACACCATTTTAGCTCTAGCGTCTGGTTCTCTATTTCTCTCTTGCACAAACTTTCCCTTGATACACACTTCACATTGTCTGGGAGCTTGATCATTTTTGTCCTTAATTTTCATTCCATCAACAACTTTTTGTAGTTTAAGAACATCATCATAATTGCAATGTCCCATAATCTCATGCCAAGTCTGTACATCGTAAGTACCATTACAGTGATCCAAAGGTTCATTACTCACGGTTCGTAGATAATATAGTCTGCCACTCTCATGAATAGGGAATATTGTTCCATCGGGGTGTTCCAGCATGCTTTTTCCGCTTCTGAACGTGACCGTAGCTCCATTTGTTGTAGCAGCTTTTACAGAGAAGATATCCTGGGGATATGAGGGTACATACAGGGCCCGCTTGAGCACTATTTTCTGCTGTCTTCCCCTGTTGTCCAGCAAATAAACAATTGCTTCTCCCCTTCTTTCCGCGACCCCTTTACACCTGGTTCCATCAGCGAGTTCCACGCTGTGCCTCTCGGACTCAAAGTCATCATCGAATACCCGAAACTTTCTCGGATCCGTGACGATATGAGATGTCGCTCCAGTATCCACCATTATACCCCTCGCTGTGTCGGTCCGGGCCTCTCCGTCCGCATCTCTTAGTCTGAAGGCGTACTCCGTATTGTCCTCACTTACAGCCGTCCGGGCGTCGTCCCACTGGTTCCTCCTCCTGCACTGGTCTCCATTATGTGTGTTGTTCTTGCAGATGCCACACCACTTCGTGCGATAACACTCTCTGGCTTTATGTCCCTTTTTGCCACACCTGTAGCACACTAGGTCTGTGCTTCTTGCACCATCAGTGCTTCTTCTTCCCGAGTCTGACCATGTCTGTGAGGAACAAGCCTTTGGCTTCACACGTGCCTTCATGACATCATCCTTATCTGGTGCTGTTGCTCGTATCTTCTCAGTCTCTTCGTAGCTTCTTAATCTGCTTTTGAAGTCTGTAAAAGTCATGGTGCCATCACTCTGGGTTACATGTATGGAAAAGGGTTTATAAGGTGCAGGTAATCCCTTCAAAACCATGGCAATCAGCAGGCCATCACTTAATGTCTCACCGGCACTTCTCAATGCGGAAATGGCTGATTCCGCCCTCAGAACATAATCCGTAACGCTCTCGCTGTCCAACTTCTGCAACGACGTCAGCTCCGTATACAGGCTTATAATGCAAGGTTTTCCTTTACCTGCATAATGATCTCTCAGGATCGCCAGGGCTTTCCGCCCATCATCTGCTGCATCCCGCATCACCAGTAACAGGCTTTTGTCATCCAAAAACTGTATCAGCTCTGCATAAGCCTCTGCATTTTTCGATAAGTCATCTTCACTTTCATCCTCTTCATCCTCGGTTTTTAGGACCACGTCTTTCAATCCCTGGAGGCGGAGGTGACCGAGAAACTTTGTCTCCCACAATTCATATTTTTCTTCATCTCCATCAAACATCAGCCTCGACCAGCGGGTACTGGAATCCATGGCTCTCCGACTCATGACTCGTGTAGCTTAACAGGCTACAAACACTGGACAGGTGTCTCGTCTTTCACCTGGTGCGTCTCTGTCTCTGCTCGTCTGTCATCGACCTGGATATCCTGGGCCCATAACCTGTTAGCAGATATCGTGCGCAGCAGCACTGGCTTTCTCACAAAAACACCGAGATGAACTTTCGTTTTGAGCTTGGCGTCTACGGCAGCAGCAGCAGCAGCAGCTGATTCATATTTCCCAAAGCTCTGCTTTTATTGGTGGATGGGGGAGTTCAAAGTTCATTTTTAACCATTCTTATTGGAACATTACATACCACATGCCAGCATACGTCATTTCCTCTAACAGTGTTTCCAAAATAAAAGTCTTATGTAAAACATTTAACACATCAGAGCACATATCTCAACAGGCTAGGATCCTGTTTCCCCCAGCGAGAGCAACCATCTACAGCGCTCATCTACTCTACAGTCACAGGTCGGGTTTTCACAGCATCTGTCTGCTTTCCTTCGTGGGGGTTTTAGTTGCTTGCAGCTCAAGGCTACCAGGGCGTATGATTCAATAACAAGAATTTGTTTGGGTCAGGCTGAGATAATTTTCCTCTCTGCCTTCAGTCTTTAAACTGATCATTTCCAGTCCTTCAGTGAAGTCAGTTTTGGGGTTTTAAACCTGCGTGCACTAGCACCGTGTCCTCAGAGAGATTAGTTATTATTTATCAGCGTGAGGAACTTATTTCTACCTAAACTATTTATTTACAGGTCCATCGGTTAATGTAATAATTGTCCCAACCACAGCTGCACCCCCACCCCCCAACCCGGTCTCACAGCAATCAGGGGCAAGCACGCTCACATTAGGTGTTTTTATCAGCTCAGGAGCCCGCAGGTACGGTGTGTGTCACTCGACTGACACATCACTACATCATTCCCTTTCCTAATGTCCTGAAGAACGGTCCGGAGCGCAGGCGGAGTGTTTACCGTTGACATTTCCTGCAGGTTAGCTAGTTATCCAGAAAGTAGCTAAGGGTTACCAGAGATTTTTCTGGGGTGTTCGCTAGGTACTTTTAGGATTTAAAAAGTAAAGAAGGGGGTCTGAAAAGCTGCTAGAAATAGCATCAAAGTCACTAAAGCCCCCTTCAGACAGGCCATGAAAAATGGAAATGTTCCGGACTCTGTCCGTAAGACCTTTCTGTCTGAATACAAACATCCGGATAACGTGTTCCGGAACTTTACCGGACGAAGCCCCTAGTAACAGGTCCGGACTTGTTACGGACAAGGTGGCTGCTTCAGACTGGTGAGGTCGAGTTCCGGACAAGGGGGAGGGGGAGGGGGAGGAGGAGGGGACCGGGGGACGCTGTGCGCACTGCGCACCTAATAGCCCGCTGCTGTAGCATGCGGCGGCGAACCACGGCAGCTCGCCTCCTACGGTACCGTCTAGACGCGCGACGGAGCGCTTCACACCGCTTCAGTGATTCCTTTAACCATTGAGCTTCATCATCCAGGTCTCTTATACGTCTTCGTGTGCGCAGAATTATGCTTAAGCGCCTCATGATCTTAGGATTTGAATTGGCCGCAAATGTTCCAGAATGTCTATCTGAAAAGGGCTTAAGTTGGCAACACTGTGGGAGGAGCGCTTCATTTGAAACTCAGGGCAGCGCAAGTTGGAGGAGCAAATAACCGGCTTGTTTTGTTTTTATAATCGTTCAAAACTAAGATTGTAATTGGGATTGAAATTCGATTAATTGAGCAGCCCTACTCAAAATGATTGAATTTTTTTATGTTTGAGCAGGGCTGAAGTTGTTCAACAGATCTATGAAAAAAAAGTAAAAAAAACATTATTTTATACATTTTTATAGCCACTTTTACAAGTGGACGTTTTTGTCCTCTAATGACTCTTTTGTATGAAAATTAAAGTGAAGCCTGAGGGTTAAGGCTCATATGATTCATAGATGCTCACAGTTCAGTTTCCAATTGTAAATACATTTCATTCTACTGTCAGTTTAAAGAAATAATACAACTTTTATATGTGTGAAAACAAAGTTACAGCTGTCTGTCATTCACATAATGTTTCTGTGTTTCCTACAGATTTTCAACAGGTGGTTCTGGTTAAATAAGAAGCTTCAGAAGAACAGAGTGCTCGTGTCAACCACCAGCACCTAGATTTTCTCCACAAAAAGGAGGAACAGGAGAAACTCTGGTCTAGTATGGAGGGAGAGCATCTCCATTTGAAAAAGGAGACTGATGCTGCCGGGTTTCAATCCTTTAGCCATAAAACACATTTAAACAAACACACGAGAGTCCACACAAAGCAGAAACATTTTGCCTGTGAGCACTGTGGACAAAGGTTTCACCAAAAGACTAATTTAACCACACACATGAGAGTCCACACGGGACAGAAGCCTTTTGCCTGTGAGCTCTGTGGAACGAGATTTAGCCGAAAGACAACTTTAAACATTCACATGAGAGTCCACACAGGAGAGAAGCCCTTTCCTTGTGAGCTCTGTGGAACGAGATTTAGCCAAAAGACACATTTAAACAATCACATGAGAGTCCACACAGGAGAGAAGCCCTTTCCTTGTGAGCTCTGTGGAACGAGATTTAGCCGAAAGACAACTTTAAACATTCACATGAGCGCCCACACAGGACAGAAGCCCTTTCCTTGTGAGCTCTGTGGAACGAGATTTAGCCGAAAGACACATTTAAACAATCACATGAGAGTCCACACAGGAGAGAAGCCCTTTCCTTGTGAGCTCTGTGGAACGAGATTTAGCCGAAAGACAAATTTAAACAGTCACATGAGAGTCCACACAGGAGAGAAGCCCTTTCCTTGTGAGCTCTGTGGAACGAGATTTAGCCGAAAGACAACTTTAAACATTCACATGAGAGCCCACACAGGACAGAAGCCTTTTGCCTGTGAGCTCTGTGAAAAGAAATTTAGCTTAAAATCAACTTTAAATAGTCACATGAGAGTCCACACAGAACAGAAGCCCTTTCCTTGTGAGCTCTGTGGAACGAGATTTAGCCAAAAGACACATTTAAACAATCACATGAGAGTCCACACAGGAGAGAAGCCCTTTCCTTGTGAGCTCTGTGGAATGAGATTTAGCCAAAAGACAACTTTAAACATTCACACGAGAGCCCACACAGGACAGAAGCCCTTTTCTTGTGAGCTCTGTGGAACGAGATTTAGCCGAAAGACACATTTAAACAATCACATGAGAGTCCACACAGGAGAAAAGCCCTTTCCTTGTGAGGTCTGTGGAACGAGATTTAGCCAAAAGACAAATTTAAACAGTCACATGAGCGTCCACACAGGAGAGAAGCCCTTTCCTTGCGAGCTCTGTGGAACGAGATTTAGCCGAAAGACAACTTTAAACATTCACATGAGAGCCCACACAGGACAGAAGCCTTTTGCCTGTGAGCTCTGTGAAAAGAAATTTAGCTTAAAATCAACTTTAAATAGTCACATGAGAGTCCACACAGAACAGAAGCCCTTTCCTTGTGAGCTCTGTGGAACGAGATTTAGCCATAAGACAAATTTAAACAGACACATGAGAGTCCACACAGGACAGAAGCCCTTTCCTTGTGAGCTCTGTGGACAAAGATTTACCTTAAAGTCAAATTTAAACAGTCACATGAGTGTCCACACAGGAGAGAAGCCCTTTCCTTGTGAGCTCTGTGGAACGAGATTTAGCCGAAAGACACATTTAAACATTCACATGAGAGCCCACACAGGACAGAAGCCTTTTGCCTGTGAGCTCTGTGAAAAGAAATTTAGCTTAAAATCAACTTTAAATTGTCACATGAGAGTCCACACAGGACAGAAGCCTTTTGCCTGTGAGCTCTGTGAAAAGAAATTTAGCTTAAAATCAACTTTAAATAGTCACATGAGAGTCCACACAGGACAGAAGCCCTTTCCTTGTGAGCTCTGTGGAACGAGATTTAGCCATAAGTCAAATTTAAACAAACACATGAGAGTCCACACAGGACAGAAGCCCTTTCCTTGTGAGCTCTGTAGAACGAGATTTAGCCAAAAGACAACTTTAAACAGACACATGAGAGTCCACACTGGCTTTTCGCCTGTGAGTTCGGTGGAAAAGATTTAGCGAAAAGACAAATTTAAACGGTCACAAAAGAGTCCATAAAGGACCGAAGCCTTTTGCTTGTGAGCTCTGTGGATGAAGATTTTGCTGAAAGAAAACTTTAAACAATCATCTAAGCATCCACTAGGGCTGAACGATCTATTGCAGGGGTCTCCAACCTTTTTTGGCCCGTGAGCTACTTTTACACAATGAAAGTACAGCAGAGTTACTGCCATATGATTTATTTACATTGATACTTTCCATTTGTGAATGTGCTTTTGTTAAACATGCTATACTTACTATATTCACATGCATTGTACTCACAAGTTGATTTCTCTGTATTTCAGTACATCAGTATATATATTTTTTAAAAGTATAAGTAAACTAGTGACATTCTGAAAACCAAATAGAACAAAACATATTTAGTTTTTTTAACTAATCAGATACTTTCAGATAATGAACAACAAATCTACTTCTTGTGAATGATTTGGTAATTTTTTTAGAAGGTTAGTAACATAATTTTTTAAGCACACAGGAACAGTTAACCTGTAAAGCTGATATTTTATATAAAATACAAGCTAAATGTGATGAAAACACAAAAGTCTAAATAGTTTGAATTGAAGTAAAAAATGTAAAATCAGAAATAAGACTTGTTCCTGCTCTCCTGATGTACTGAATAATTTTTATGGGTTTTTTGGTCATGAAAGTTAAGTTTTGCTGTGTTTATTGCTGACAATATGAAGGTTGGAGGTTTATCCTTTTTTTCTGCATCTTGAAGGTTTTTTCTCCGCAGGCCTGAAGGCTGTGCGTTACACAGAGCAGAGAGACAGAGAGCAAGAGACCAGAACCAAAAGAAATGATCACATCACACCAATCTTAAAATATTTACATTGGCTTTCAGTAGCTTACAGGATTGATTTCAAAGACCTTTTACTTACTTTTAAATCATTAAATGGCCAACGACCTCTGTATATAGCAGAGATGTTTGAAACCCATCACCCTTCAAAATCACTTAGGTCAGCAGATAAATCCCAACTGGTACAACCCAGAGCCCGCACCAAGCACGGAGAGGCTGCCTTTAGCTGCTATGCGGTCCGTCTCTGGAACTGTCTTCCAATAGACATGAAGACCTCTCCCACCATTTCCATTTTTAAATCCAGATTAAAAACTAAACTTTTTCATGATGCCTTCCATCAACCTATCCTTGCATCTGTGCTCTACCAGGTCTTTATCTGTACTGTGTTGAATTTATTCTACATGTATTTTATATGTATACCTATTCTGTGCTGTTTTATTGTGTATTATTGTGTAATTAAAGTGAATACTTGTAATAAAGTGTAGTTATTGTGTAAAGCAGTATATACTAGGAATGATGAATAAAAATAAAAACTAGAATTGAACCTGAGTTCCATCCAATCCAGTTTATTTCTAAAGCACTTTAAAAGACCCAGCACAGGAACAAAGTGTTGTACAGAAAGTACATTAAAACAATTGACTAGACAGAAAACAGCAAAGATAAATAAAACACATGATACATAAAATTAAACTAGCCCTATATTAAAAAAATAAAAACTTGAAAAAACTTGATAAAACCGCATTTGAATCACCTAAAACAGCTAAAATAAAAATAAAAAATAGAA